CTTCCTCCTCCTCTTCCTCCTCCTCTTCCATCTCTATCATCTCCTCCATCACCATGGCCAACATGGCCGCCGTGGCCGCCACCTCCGCCACCTTGGTGGCCATGGCCTTCACTCTTGGACAAGAAGGGTTCTTGGTCATCGCCGTCGCCGCCAACTTGACCATGGATGACGCCGCTTGATCGGCCAACTTGGCCATGGCCTTCCTCCGGCGTTGGGATGGGTCTTCGGCCATCGCCGTCACCTCTTCCACCAAGGAGGCCATCAAGGACGAGGCCTTGGCCGCCAAGGTGGCCATGGCCGTCCCTTCAGGGCTGGTGGGCTTCTCGGCCACCAAGGATGAGAGCTCGGCCACCAGGTTGGCCATCGATGAGGACACCTCGGCCGCCAACGTCGCCATGGTGGTCCCCGGGAGGATGGGGGTGTCCTCGGCCACCATCACCTCCTGCTCCTGCTGGGGTGATGGTCGCCCAAGTCACGTGGTGGGAAGGAGTCACGTGACCGGTCACGTGGGGCACAGGGGAGGGGGGAGAAGGAAGGAGCACCCACCCCTCAACCCAACCAGGTGGCCACCCATCGGGACCTTGAGTGAAGGAAGACCCCCCTCCAACCACTAGGACCACCCCCCCAGGACCAGAAGGACCTTCTGAGGGTTGAGATATAATGAGATTCATAATTAACGTTAATTACCCCAAAGTATGGAGATTATAGAACCATGGGATGGTGTGGGTGGGAAGGGACCTTCAAGTCCCACCCGCTGCCCTGGGCAGGGCCATCTCCCACCAGCCCAGGTTGCTCCAAGTCCCATCCAACCTTGGCCTTGAACCCCCTCCAGGGATGGGACAACCTGTTCTAGGGTCTCACCACCCTCAGTTGGTCAACGTTGGGTTGATGGTTGGCCTTGATGGTCTTCAAGGTCTCTTCCAACCCAGGGAAGTGGTGGAATCACCAGAGACTCACACAACGTTTTGGGTTGGAAGGGACCTTCAAGCTCATCCAGTTCCATCCCTTCTAATGGCTGGGACACCTTGGATAAGACCAGGTCACCCAAAGCTCCATCCAACCTTGGCCTTCAACCCCTTCAGGGATGGGGCTTCTCTGGGCGACCTGTTCCAGGGTCTCACCACCCTCAGAGGGAGGAATTTCCTCTCCAGATCCCACCTCAATCTCCTCATTTTTGGGTTAAAACCCTTCCTCCTCATCCTACGGCTCCACTCCTAGGAGATCTTCTTGAGAAGATCCCCCTGGTGGTCTCCAAACACCTCCTGATTTTCCACCCACCTTCCCACAGTCCTCCCCGGGTGCAGCACCCGACGCTTGCCCCTTGGTGGAACTCCATCAGGTTCCTCTCTGAGGAATTTCCTCTCCAGATCCCACCTCAATCTCCTCATTTTTGGGTTAAAACCCTTCCTCCTCATCCTACGGCTCCACTCCTAGGAGATCTTCTTGAGAAGATCCCCCTGGTGGTCTCCAAACACCTCCTGATTTTCCACCCACCTTCCCACAGTCCTCCCCGGGTGCAGCACCCGACGCTTGCCCCTTGGTGGAACTCCATCAGGTTCCTCTCTGCCCAACTCTCCAGCCCGTCCAGGTCCTGCTGGATGGTGGCCCCACCCCTCCTTCGTGTCAACCCCCCAACCCTCCATCGTGTCAACCACCCACCCCTCCATCGTGTCAACCATCAACCCCTTCATCGTGTCAACCATCTACCCCTCCATCGTGTCAACCATCAACCCCTTCATCGTGTCAACCATCTACCCCTCCATCGTGTCAACCATCTACCCCTCCATCATGTCAACCCCCCACCCCTCCATTGTGTCAACCATCAACCCCTCCATCGTGTTGACCACCCAACCCTCCATCATGTCAACCACCTACCCCTCCATCGTGTCGACCACCCACCCCTTCATTGTGTCGACCACCCACCCCTCCATCGTGTCGACCACCCACCCCTCCATCGTGTCAACCATCAACCCCTTCATCGTGTCAACCATCTACCCCTCCATCGTGTCAACCATCAACCCCTCCATGGTGTCAACCATCTACCCCTCCATCGTGTCAACCACCCACCCCTCCATCATGTCAACCACCCACCCCTCCATCGTGTCAACCATCAACCCCTCCATGGTGTCAACCACCCACCCCATGGGTTGAGATGGTCAAAGGAACGGGCAGGAGCTCTTTTGGAGGACTTTTGGAGCTGGAAAAAGCGGTGGGTTGTGGGTTGGATGTGGGGAAGGGGGGGCAGAACCCTTCCCCCTTTGATTATTTTTTCTACTTTTCTTTTTTTTTCTACTTTTATGGTTTTTTTCTATCGTGGCACCTTGCCCTCTCCCGTTTGGTACCTTGGCTTTCTGACTGCCCGTCCTTGAGTCCTCCTCTTGGAGCTTCTTGGAGCCTTCCTCCAGTTCCTTCCTCAGCTGAAGCGCTTCTTCTTCCAGGCTGCGGACCTGGTCCTGCAGCTTCTGCTTTTCTTCAGCCTCCTCCTTCTCCCGGCTCTTCCTCTCCTCCTCGGCTCTCTCCTGCTGCTCTCGAACCCCTGGGGATGGAGAAACGGATGGAGAGGACCATAGAAAGGTTGGAAGGGACCTCAAAGATCTTCTGGGAAGGTTCCTCTCCTGAGGAGAAAGAGCTGGGAGTCCTGGGTGGTAGCACACGCTTGCCATGGGCCAACAATAGGTCTTCTTGTGGCCAAGAAGGCCAACGGGATCCTAGGGAAGAGTGTGGCCAGGAGGTCATTGTCCCCATTGTCCCATGTGGCCTCTACTCTACACCGGTGAGGCCACAACTGGAATCCAGCGTCCAGTTCTGGGACCTCCCAGTTCAAGAAGGACTGGGAACTGCTGGAGAGAGTCCAACGTTGGGCAACCAAGATGGTTCAAGGGTTGGAGCATCTCCCTGGTGAGGAAAGGCTGAGAGATGTTGGGGGTCTTCAGCCTGGAGAAGAGGAGGCTGAGGGGAGACCTTATTTAGAAGTATCTCAAGGGTGGGTTGAAGGATGTTGGAGATCTTCAAGCCCCTCCTGGATGCTCCTGAGTGATGTGCTCTGGGCAACCCTGCTTTGGCAGGAGGGGTTGGACCAGATGATCTCTAGAAGGTCCCTTCCAACCCTGACAATCCTGTGACTCCATGAAACAGAGGTGCTCCAAGGGCAGGAGCCGAGCCCACGGGCACCCGAGGAGCCCTGGTGACCTCCCCACCACCACCCAGCTTGGGTCTTGACAGGCAGTGAGATGTCTCCTGCCCGGAACTTACTTTTCAGCTCCTCCTCCTTCTCTGCCAGGGCATGGTCTGTCTTGAAGACCATTTCATCCAGATCCTCTCTGCTTTGGAGGAACTTCTGCAGGACAACTTCGGCCTGGAGACCCACAGGTAGAAGAGGAGTCAAGGAGAGAAGAAGCAGCTCAGGGAAAACTGTTTTTTTGGGGGGGAAGGGGATGGGACATGGAGCTTCTTCTCCAGGCTGAAGCTCTTGTTCCTACCATCACCCCCTTGCCAGGAGCTTCCTGATATTTCTCCACCAGGGCCTGCAGGTCTCCTTTGAAGAGCTCGTAACCTCCTGGCACGTTGTAGACCCCATCCTTGAGTTTTCTGTCCAAATCTCGGGAGAGGTCCCTGAGAGCAGCCTTGCACTTGTGGCTGGACTCCTGCTCGTTGTCCCTGAGGAACTTCTCCTTGATCTCCTCCACCTGGCGCTGTGGGGGAAAGACGCAGAGGGAAGGCGTCAGCCCATCCTCACGTTGGGGAAAACCACCAAAAAAACCCCAAAACCTCCCAAAAGACGGGGACAAGACTTAGTCAATAGGACAGGAGAAACGTAGGAGGCTACAGGCTTCCAACAACCATCTCCATGAAGAGCCCTGACCACCCCAGGACCACGCTATTCCCCCCAAAGCTCAGGAGATGGTGGTGTCCCAAGGGGTGGTGGAGGACACGACTCCTGGCTGGGCTGAGGACCACCTACTGTAAGATCTTCCTGGAAAGAGCAGATGTCTTCCTCGAACGCCCGTTTCTGGAAGAGCTCTTGTGTCTCCTGCTGGCACTGGCTGTGCAGATCCAGGAGCTCCTCAACCGTCTCCGTCGGCAGCTTCACCCGTTGCTCCATCAGGTCCTGGTAGAACTTCACAGCCTCTTTCACCGCCGCCGCGTTGACGGTCTGTGCCAGGGCCAGCACCGCGCTCTCCAGGCACGGCACCTCCCGGCTCCGGATGGTCTTCACGTAGGTCTCTGCCAGTTTGCCCAGCACTGCCAAGGAGGACCAAGGGTGAGAGATCTGCAGCCTGGGACAAACCACCAGCTCCCCTTCAGCTCCTGCCACCTCCTTGCTCTTCTCCTGACCCTTTCCCACCTCTGGATCGCAACATCCAGGAGCTCCAACTCCAGAGGTGGGGTGGGCAACCAGGAGAAAGCTTCTCCCTCTCCCCACCTGCATGGTTGGATCCTTCTCCAGATGCAACCCCAAGAGCTGCTGCCCATCCAGCCCTACTCACAGCTCCCCGTGATGACGCGGCCACCAAGGATGGTCTTAGGTGGAGAGTTCTCCCAGACGTGGCCGCAGAATTTCTCCACCTGCTGCTGGAATTCGGGGTTGATCTCCTCATCCCCAAGCTCCTCCAAGCGCTCCAGGTCCATTTTGGGGGCCGGTTGGTCAAAAACGAAGCACTTGCGATCCCGAAAGTACTGGCAGATGCATTCCCGGGTCTGGTTGGAGCGTCGGATCTTGGAGCTGGTTCCTGTGGGACAAGAGGACACGGAGCAAGTTCCTCAGGCTCAGGGTCTCCTTGATGGACACCAAAACACCTGAGGCTGGAGGTCTCCAGCAGCACAGCACCACCATCCCCTCACCGTTCTTCACCGCCAGCGCCTTTTCCAAGTATTGGTCCTCGGAGATTGTCTCCCCGTCCATCTCCAGCCGCAGGCTGAAATCCCTCACCGTCCAGACGAAAGCCGGGAAGAAAGGGGCAACTTCTTCTGGATCTTCCTCCTCCTCTTCCTCTTCACTCTGCCCAGGAGCCGCTTTCAACCTGACCTGCTCGGTCAGCTTCATCACGTAGCTGGGGAGATGGTTAAGGAACCACCTCGGCTCTGAAGGCAACCACCTCATGGGGCGAGAGAGGAGACTCTACGGGGATGGAGAACCACCAGAAGGAAGAGGGAGAAAAGCCCTCAGCCCAGAGGTCCCCGGCGTGGGGACTCCTAAGGACACCAAGCACCTCCACGGACACCACCAGAAGGCTGTTTGAGGAACTAGGGTTTGGCCAACCCCTTGCCCAGCCCCCCGGGAGAGGAGCCCATCCCTGGTTCCTGCTGTCCCACCAAGGATACTGCAGCTGCTCCATGGCTTGTTGGTCAATGGTGCCTCTGCTGTTGTAGATGAGGGTGCTGGAGAGCAGTAGGGTGAGCACAAAGATCCAGGTGTCGTTCTCGGTGTCACCCTGGAGGAACAGCCCTTGGCTCTTGGTCAACAAGACCCAGTCAACAAGTCAACGTGTCAACGAGTCAACGTGTCAATGAGTCAACGAATCAATGAGTCAACGTGTCAACCTGTCAACGAGTCAATGAGTCAACGTGTCAACCAGTCAACGAGTCAATGAGTCAACGAATCAACCAGTCAATGAGTCAATGAGTCAACGAGTCAATGAGTCAACGTGTCAATGAGTCAATGTGTCAACCTGTCAACGAGTCAATGAGTCAACGTGTCAATGAGTCAACGAATCAATGAGTCAACGATTCAACGAGTCAATGAGCCAACGTGTCAACCAGTCAACGAGTCAATGAGTCAACGAGTCAACGAATCAACAAATCAACGAGTCAATGAGTCAATGAATCAACGAGTCTTTGAGTCAACGAGTCAACAAGTATCAGCAAAGCCCCACATGCCCAGACCCTGCATGCTCTTTTCCAACAGGCCATGGTTAGGACCAGCTTTTGGAGACCCCCACCCCCACCCCTTTGTCTGGGTGAGCTCATCCTCACCTCCCAGAATCACCGAATCACAGAGATGGGGTTGGAAGGGACCTCTGGAGATCATCTAATCCAACCCCCCTTGCCAGAGCAGGTCCACCCAGAGCAGGTCCGTGTCCAGGGGTGTTTGGAATGTTCTCCAGAGGTGGAGACTCCACCATCTCTCTGGGCAGCCTCTTCCAGGGCTCTGCCACCCTCAAAGTGAAGAAGTTCTTCCCCTTGTTTAGATGGAGCTTCTGATGAACAACTTTGTGCCCGTTCCCTCTGGTCCTGTCACTGGCCACCACTGGAAGAAGATGACTGTCCCCATCCTCCTGATACCCCCCCTTGAAGTATTTAGAGGCGTTGAGGAGATCCCCCCAACTATCTACCCCAACCTCCTTCCCCATGGCCTCTGGCTCCTTCCACCCCACAGGCTGAAGGTCACCCCAGATGCTGGAAACCCCTGGATTCTGCTCATTTGGGTGACAAAATGCTGGGACAAAATACTCCTTCCTCACCTTCTCCACGTCGCCCAGCCCTTCCGTGTCCAGCAGCACCAGAGCGTGTCCAGGCTTGCGGGGGTGAGGTAGACACCACATCCAGACCCCTTTGGTGTGGGACTGCACGCTGGAGCCCAGGGAGAAACCTGTGGGGAGGATTGCGAGGTCCTCACCACTGGAGAGAGGAGGAGAACCCAAGTCCCCTGGACCTCCAGGTTGGGATCTCCCTCACCTTTCCTCCTACCAGCCAGCCTGTTCATGAGGTAGGACTTGCCGGTGCGGTACAGCCCTGTGATGGCCACCACCACCACCGGCTGGGTCACCTCTGACAGCACCTTCAGGGCCTCCTGCTGAACCACCAGCCCCTTCCTCGGGTGGTTCTCCACGAGGCAGAGGGGCTTCGCCATGAGGATCTCCGATGCCATTGCCGACAGCGAAGGCAGAACTGGGGAGGAGAGGACCAGAGGGACTGGTTAACGAGCTGGTTGGTTAACGAGCTGGTTAACGAGCTGGTTAACGACACCCCGAAGTCCAAAGTGGTTGGGGTGGGGACACCAGTCATCGTCATCCTACTGCCTTTGTCCAAGCTACAACCCTTCGCATCCAACGCTCCGCGCTACGACCCCAGCGCCGCTTTGGAGGCTGCTGAGAGGGGAATTGGGGGATAAAAACGAAAATTGGGGGACAAAAAAATAATTGGGGGACAAAAACCCCTCCATCGTGTCAACCATCAACCCCTTCATCGTGTCAACCATCTACCCCTCCATCGTGTCAACCATCAACCCCTCCATGGTGTCAACCATCTACCCCTCCATCGTGTCAACCACCCACCCCTCCATCATGTCAACCACCCACCCCTCCATCGTGTCAACCATCAACCCCTCCATGGTGTCAACCACCCACCCCATGGGTTGAGATGGTCAAAGGAACGGGCAGGAGCTCTTTTGGAGGACTTTTGGAGCTGGAAAAAGCGGTGGGTTGTGGGTTGGATGTGGGGAAGGGGGGGCAGAACCCTTCCCCCTTTGATTATTTTTTCTACTTTTCTTTTTTTTTCTACTTTTATGGTTTTTTTCTATCGTGGCACCTTGCCCTCTCCCGTTTGGTACCTTGGCTTTCTGACTGCCCGTCCTTGAGTCCTCCTCTTGGAGCTTCTTGGAGCCTTCCTCCAGTTCCTTCCTCAGCTGAAGCGCTTCTTCTTCCAGGCTGCGGACCTGGTCCTGCAGCTTCTGCTTTTCTTCAGCCTCCTCCTTCTCCCGGCTCTTCCTCTCCTCCTCGGCTCTCTCCTGCTGCTCTCGAACCCCTGGGGATGGAGAAACGGATGGAGAGGACCATAGAAAGGTTGGAAGGGACCTCAAAGATCTTCTGGGAAGGTTCCTCTCCTGAGGAGAAAGAGCTGGGAGTCCTGGGTGGTAGCACACGCTTGCCATGGGCCAACAATAGGTCTTCTTGTGGCCAAGAAGGCCAACGGGATCCTAGGGAAGAGTGTGGCCAGGAGGTCATTGTCCCCATTGTCCCATGTGGCCTCTACTCTACACCGGTGAGGCCACAACTGGAATCCAGCGTCCAGTTCTGGGACCTCCCAGTTCAAGAAGGACTGGGAACTGCTGGAGAGAGTCCAACGTTGGGCAACCAAGATGGTTCAAGGGTTGGAGCATCTCCCTGGTGAGGAAAGGCTGAGAGATGTTGGGGGTCTTCAGCCTGGAGAAGAGGAGGCTGAGGGGAGACCTTATTTAGAAGTATCTCAAGGGTGGGTTGAAGGATGTTGGAGATCTTCAAGCCCCTCCTGGATGCTCCTGAGTGATGTGCTCTGGGCAACCCTGCTTTGGCAGGAGGGGTTGGACCAGATGATCTCTAGAAGGTCCCTTCCAACCCTGACAATCCTGTGACTCCATGAAACAGAGGTGCTCCAAGGGCAGGAGCCGAGCCCACGGGCACCCGAGGAGCCCTGGTGACCTCCCCACCACCACCCAGCTTGGGTCTTGACAGGCAGTGAGATGTCTCCTGCCCGGAACTTACTTTTCAGCTCCTCCTCCTTCTCTGCCAGGGCATGGTCTGTCTTGAAGACCATTTCATCCAGATCCTCTCTGCTTTGGAGGAACTTCTGCAGGACAACTTCGGCCTGGAGACCCACAGGTAGAAGAGGAGTCAAGGAGAGAAGAAGCAGCTCAGGGAAAACTGTTTTTTTGGGGGGGAAGGGGATGGGACATGGAGCTTCTTCTCCAGGCTGAAGCTCTTGTTCCTACCATCACCCCCTTGCCAGGAGCTTCCTGATATTTCTCCACCAGGGCCTGCAGGTCTCCTTTGAAGAGCTCGTAACCTCCTGGCACGTTGTAGACCCCATCCTTGAGTTTTCTGTCCAAATCTCGGGAGAGGTCCCTGAGAGCAGCCTTGCACTTGTGGCTGGACTCCTGCTCGTTGTCCCTGAGGAACTTCTCCTTGATCTCCTCCACCTGGCGCTGTGGGGGAAAGACGCAGAGGGAAGGCGTCAGCCCATCCTCACGTTGGGGAAAACCACCAAAAAAACCCCAAAACCTCCCAAAAGACGGGGACAAGACTTAGTCAATAGGACAGGAGAAACGTAGGAGGCTACAGGCTTCCAACAACCATCTCCATGAAGAGCCCTGACCACCCCAGGACCACGCTATTCCCCCCAAAGCTCAGGAGATGGTGGTGTCCCAAGGGGTGGTGGAGGACACGACTCCTGGCTGGGCTGAGGACCACCTACTGTAAGATCTTCCTGGAAAGAGCAGATGTCTTCCTCGAACGCCCGTTTCTGGAAGAGCTCTTGTGTCTCCTGCTGGCACTGGCTGTGCAGATCCAGGAGCTCCTCAACCGTCTCCGTCGGCAGCTTCACCCGTTGCTCCATCAGGTCCTGGTAGAACTTCACAGCCTCTTTCACCGCCGCCGCGTTGACGGTCTGTGCCAGGGCCAGCACCGCGCTCTCCAGGCACGGCACCTCCCGGCTCCGGATGGTCTTCACGTAGGTCTCTGCCAGTTTGCCCAGCACTGCCAAGGAGGACCAAGGGTGAGAGATCTGCAGCCTGGGACAAACCACCAGCTCCCCTTCAGCTCCTGCCACCTCCTTGCTCTTCTCCTGACCCTTTCCCACCTCTGGATCGCAACATCCAGGAGCTCCAACTCCAGAGGTGGGGTGGGCAACCAGGAGAAAGCTTCTCCCTCTCCCCACCTGCATGGTTGGATCCTTCTCCAGATGCAACCCCAAGAGCTGCTGCCCATCCAGCCCTACTCACAGCTCCCCGTGATGACGCGGCCACCAAGGATGGTCTTAGGTGGAGAGTTCTCCCAGACGTGGCCGCAGAATTTCTCCACCTGCTGCTGGAATTCGGGGTTGATCTCCTCATCCCCAAGCTCCTCCAAGCGCTCCAGGTCCATTTTGGGGGCCGGTTGGTCAAAAACGAAGCACTTGCGATCCCGAAAGTACTGGCAGATGCATTCCCGGGTCTGGTTGGAGCGTCGGATCTTGGAGCTGGTTCCTGTGGGACAAGAGGACACGGAGCAAGTTCCTCAGGCTCAGGGTCTCCTTGATGGACACCAAAACACCTGAGGCTGGAGGTCTCCAGCAGCACAGCACCACCATCCCCTCACCGTTCTTCACCGCCAGCGCCTTTTCCAAGTATTGGTCCTCGGAGATTGTCTCCCCGTCCATCTCCAGCCGCAGGCTGAAATCCCTCACCGTCCAGACGAAAGCCGGGAAGAAAGGGGCAACTTCTTCTGGATCTTCCTCCTCCTCTTCCTCTTCACTCTGCCCAGGAGCCGCTTTCAACCTGACCTGCTCGGTCAGCTTCATCACGTAGCTGGGGAGATGGTTAAGGAACCACCTCGGCTCTGAAGGCAACCACCTCATGGGGCGAGAGAGGAGACTCTACGGGGATGGAGAACCACCAGAAGGAAGAGGGAGAAAAGCCCTCAGCCCAGAGGTCCCCGGCGTGGGGACTCCTAAGGACACCAAGCACCTCCACGGACACCACCAGAAGGCTGTTTGAGGAACTAGGGTTTGGCCAACCCCTTGCCCAGCCCCCCGGGAGAGGAGCCCATCCCTGGTTCCTGCTGTCCCACCAAGGATACTGCAGCTGCTCCATGGCTTGTTGGTCAATGGTGCCTCTGCTGTTGTAGATGAGGGTGCTGGAGAGCAGTAGGGTGAGCACAAAGATCCAGGTGTCGTTCTCGGTGTCACCCTGGAGGAACAGCCCTTGGCTCTTGGTCAACAAGACCCAGTCAACAAGTCAACGTGTCAACGAGTCAACGTGTCAATGAGTCAACGAATCAATGAGTCAACGTGTCAACCTGTCAACGAGTCAATGAGTCAACGTGTCAACCAGTCAACGAGTCAATGAGTCAACGAATCAACCAGTCAATGAGTCAATGAGTCAACGAGTCAATGAGTCAACGTGTCAATGAGTCAATGTGTCAACCTGTCAACGAGTCAATGAGTCAACGTGTCAATGAGTCAACGAATCAATGAGTCAACGATTCAACGAGTCAATGAGCCAACGTGTCAACCAGTCAACGAGTCAATGAGTCAACGAGTCAACGAATCAACAAATCAACGAGTCAATGAGTCAATGAATCAACGAGTCTTTGAGTCAACGAGTCAACAAGTATCAGCAAAGCCCCACATGCCCAGACCCTGCATGCTCTTTTCCAACAGGCCATGGTTAGGACCAGCTTTTGGAGACCCCCACCCCCACCCCTTTGTCTGGGTGAGCTCATCCTCACCTCCCAGAATCACCGAATCACAGAGATGGGGTTGGAAGGGACCTCTGGAG